TCCAGTTCCAAAGAGCTGTTCTTTCAGACTAGACCTTTCCCCCTGAACTTAAATGGTGAGTCAGGGTCAATCCTTTGTGCTTGAGGCATCTCCAAAAGGAAACAATTGAGGGGAAATGGATAATTTCTGACACCAGCCACATATACACAACCAGTACATCACATTGTGACCATGTTAAATATACTATCATGGGTGCATTGGGAAACAGCATCTTCATTAGGCTGAGAAATTTTAGCCGCCCCCACCTTTTTACAAACGACCATAAAATAGGGTGAGTAATCATGATAAATTTGGATAAAATTAATATTCGATTACTATTAAGAATTGACAGTGTTCATATAAAAATTAAATAATCTGATACTACCAGTGTATGTAAATAAAATATCAAAGATGACAATGCCAGTCATTTGGGGAGCTCTATGGTTAGATATGTTCTTCTGTAACTGTTAGCCGCCCTGGGTAAAATGATAAACTACGTCCAGCAGCAAGGCCTCTGATCAGGAGGTTTTGAGGAGTGTGGAACCACCTCTTAATTGTTGGTGTTCCCAGGTCCACCCTGACCTGGGGTGGTAGCACCTGTTAGGGTCCCAGCTATGGGCAAATAGTTAACACCCAAACTTGTGTAAAAAAAAAAAAAAAAAAAAAAAAATAGGTTTCAATACCAGAAATACTTTGTAATAAAAAAAATTATTACCAGCAATAATTTTTGAAGGAAAAACTATTACCAGCATTACTTTAAAAAAAATACCAGCAATACAAATAGCTATACATTCTTTGGAAAAAATATGACCTGCTATAGATTTCTTCAAGGAAAAATATTTCCAGAAATAGATTTTTGAAGAAAAACATTACCAGCAATAAACATTTTGTCAGCATTAAATAACCTATTGAGGTTGATATGCCGTAAAACAAAACAAACCGAACCAAACCTGTAACAGTTAGGTAGAACAACCGTTATAGTAAGACAGGCTTTCTGAGAAAAGAGGCATGTGAGTTTGTCTCATAGAATGCTAATTCTTTATTTCTGACTTACATTTTTTATAATGGTCAAAGAATAACTAAGTGCAGCAAAAACAAGTGGAATGGAAGTAAAAGAAATACTAATCAAGAAGCTTATATTGTGCTGAACTGCATACTATTCTGTCTTGTGCACTTAGCCAAGAAGCCGACATATGCCACGCTCCTACAAATTCCCCATATTCCTTAACAGTTCACCTCCATCCATTATTTGGATCTTAGCTCAAGAGATAGTGTATATTCTTCTCCTTCCAGATATGGTTTGCCATATTAGATCTTTCTACTTCACCTTTGATTGTGACTTTGTTTCTAGAATCCCTTTTAAGAGGACAACTGATTTCCTTCTTATATACCTTACTACACATGCATAGTATGATATAAATACACTTTGTTAGCCATTTTCTCTTGTAAAAAGAAAAAGAAGTTTGAAAGAGTAGATTTACTTAAATACATCAACCTGATGTTATAATGCTGTCATATCCACTAATATGACTATTGGGGAATTAGCTCTCTTGCTTAAAAAAAAACACATTAAAATATATACCTTTCTTGGTAATACACTATGAGGTTAACTCCACCTAATGTTTTGGAACTGTTACTATGTGATGCTTTATGGTACTATAAATAATTGGCAGTAATTATTCACATTCTCTTTTCTGCTGATACAACAACATGTAAATCTCTAGCAGAAAATTGCATTCCCTTTTGTGAAATGCATGAACAATACACACACACACACACATATGCACATTCACTCACTTAACATACTTTGGACCAAAAAGTTTCCACAATCATTTGTACACACATACATTACTGTCTTTGTTACTTGTAATGTTTTGTTGTTAATACATTATCATTTGTTTGTACATATATATATATATATATATATATATATATATATATATATATATATATATATATATATATATATCTCAGTTCTTGCTTCTTTACATTTGCTTTCAGTAGACTCATCCCAAGCCTACCATGTTTGTTGTTGGCATTTCAGGAGACACATGTGTTTTATCTTTCAATGTGTACACCAGGCAACAATGCTAACAAACCTTTTAAATTTGTTTCACTTCCTGGAAGAATTAAACGATATTAGTAGCAGTTTCTGATGTAACAATTATTCATCCTTAGTCATTTCTGGGATGAAGAATAGAATGAGAGCATCCCTCATACACATATGTGGGTACCACAAGCATCCCTCATACACATATGTGGGTACCACAAGCATCCAACTGTTCTATTTGGTATTACAACTCCATTTTTATATTAAAGGATGCATTAACAACTCTTTCATTTGCATTTGTGAAATTGATGCTAAGTAGATTTAATAACCTATTTGCTTCATCTTCTTTCTGATATAATTAAAACTTAAGATAATTATTAATTAGCTGCATTCCATTAATATTGTTTGACCTTAATAAACTTGTCTGATTCATTCCTGTCAATGCTAGATTTATTTAACTAATTTAATTTTAATACTTCATACTTTGAAAATAATATTCTGTTTGCTTTTTTGAATTAATGGCATGTAAAGTGGAATTGGCAAGTTGAGTTCAAATTCTGGCTGAGATTCTTGTGTTCACTTTTGCACAAATGCTGTTGGGGAAAGCATTGGCTTTTCAACAAGCTATCATTTAAAGTAGACTGGGCACTCTAGCTCTACATGATAGGTAATCTAGAAGAACAACTTCAAATTCAAAATTGGTAAAGACAGTGGAAAACCACTGCATTATCTTTCTCAAGAAGTCCTGCCAATTTACAGATAATAAAAGAAAAAGGATCATGGTTACCTATGTTTGGAAGGAGCATTGGATTAAGAAAGGAGAAATATTAATGCTACAAGGAGATTTAGAAAAGTTATTGTCTTTTTTTTGTTGTTTTTGAATTCTTAAGGGAATCTTCATGAAACCAATTTTATCTGCACCCATTCATTGTCATTTTATTATCTATAGTCATCTATAGCTTGAGTGTTAAAGCATAAATTATCACAAACTGATATATGAATTTGAAGAAATGTATATGAACCAAAAATGAATAACTAGGAATCATATTCCTAACAAACACCGGAGATTTTTAATTTATTATAAAAATTTCAAAACATCTAATTTAATTATTACCAAAATGGGATATCAATAATCTTCTCTTTGTAAAAATAATGTTATTGAATCTTGCCTACCAAACACACTTTGAAAATTAACTGATATTTTTGAAAGTTTTTGAACAAAACAACAAACATGAACCTCAAACTGTTTATCTGCAATTTCAATCCCAATATAGAACACCTTATTCAAAAATTGGAAAAAATACAATAAAACAAATTAAATAGACCTTGTTGATTGTATTTAATCAAACTAATTAGGATGAATACTTCCTGTCTAAATATACCTTTATTTATATATATATATATATATATATATATATATATAGTAAAGGTAACAAATCTATTGGTATATAATCCAAATGGATCTTAGTAATATAAAATATTAAAACTGAGTGATGAACTGGTTTAAGTTGTTTGCATAGGATTCCTGAAAATGGAAGTTCTTTCCATTAAGATCATTTTGTAAGGATCAAAATGTGTGATAATTTGACAGTGCATGGTCCATTGAGTATGGAGTCCTGTAAGACATCCCAACCAAGCAGTACCAGTTTCTGCCAGGTCTGCAATGCAATGTGAAATCTGACTTTGTCCTGATCAAACACATTGGCCAATTCCAAATGCTTTTCATAGATGGCTGCCTTTTAATCAATCCACTTGGAAGCAGTATTTGCCTGAATTTAACATCTGATTTTGTAGGAGCTTTTAACATACAATGATCTTTCAGTCCTATCCGATAAACAGCATCATGTTCTTCAGATACAGACCAGCTTTTGGAGGAGGTAATCATGGCCTATTTAATTTCCCCTTAGACCTTATTCACTCAACATTGTTGCAAACAATCCATTTTCCATTGCCTGTGTTCATTATTTTAAAAAAATATTTGTTGCATTTTAGTAGAGAATTCCAGATAGAAATGTAGTCTCTTAAATTCATGTTTCCAATGTCTTACAGCATTCATATAATTTATGTGGAATATTTCTACAATGTCCCATGTCATGTGAACTAGATTATTTTAATCAGCCTTTTGATTTGATTATCATTAACAACTGTAGGTACCTGAGAATATTTTTGGTTTTCTAGATTGAAATTTCCACTTTAGCATAGCAAACTACTTCTGAACAATACTCTCAGCTATGGCACTATCTTCATAAATGGCACATAGATTTTTTTATTGTTTGTTCATCATTTTGTTTTCATTTCTAGTGCATCAAATGGTAAAAATGCATCTCATTTTTCTCTATTTTAACTTTTATTTATTATTCACAATGCAAACAAACGATACTGAAAGAAAAATTGGAATATCATCTTTCAGAATATGTACATATGTCATAAATTTCAGTCATGTGTGAAACAAAATCACGTGTTTATATATCAACTACTGAAAAATGCTACAAACCATTGTTCCAATGATTTCTATGCTGAAATATTTATCTTGATTGTTTGAAAATTATGATTTGGAAATCATAAGATTCCACTTGATTATATCATCAATTTTTCTCTCTTGTCTTCAGTGTTGAACTTGTTTGTCTTGGGTTAACCTCTTGAGACTGGCTGATGTGATTCCTTGAGAAATTTATTTGCTTTGGATCTTCTGAATCTGCCAGTGAAAGTGATTAAATACAATTTGTAGATGGTGTTAAAGGCAGTGAAGGTATTGACAGTCTTGGAGCAGTTGCTGTGATATGTTATCAATATTATGTCACAAGAAAATACTCTAACTCAAGTGGTTTAAATATAGTCACAAAATTTAAGATTTTAAAAATAAGTGTTTTTGACTATTTCAATACCTTTTAAATATTGACCATTATTTTCCTTTGTTTTCCTCCTCTAACCTCATGATTTTTTAAATGAAGATTTATTATTTATATTTCAGGCTTTGATTGGAATTGCCTTTTCTCTTGGCTTCATCTTTGGACCTCTCATTGGTGCCGTGTTTTCCAAAATGGCTGATAAAGAGCAGGATTTCTTTGTTTTCCCAGCTCTCTTTGCCTTTGGATTAAGTTTATTCAATATTATCTTTGTGGGTCTCTGTCTAAAAGAATCACTACCTCCTAATAAAAGGGTAAATATATTTTCTTAAATGTTTTGTTATTTCCAAGAATTGAAAACACTAAGTTGTTTTGGCTGAATTTGTAAAGTAGAACACTTCTGAAAGTGATGCCTTGTATTTTATGCTGATTCCTGACATTAGATGTTGATGGTATGGTCGTAGAGGTTGAACCCTTGTACCAATAACCTATATTCTTTTTCTTTCTTTTTTTATCTTCTTACTGAAAGCAGCTAAATGTCAGCTGGTAAATTGAGGTCTGATGTGAAAGTATATATAAAGCAGAAGCTTGTGATGCGGAAAAAGTGTATATAGGAAGTTGGTAATGTTTTAACAGTAACAGCAGTAATGTGTGTGATGGGCTAAATCCTGGGTGGCCCTGCACATATCAAAACATGAAATGAAAAACACTGGTGAAAATGTATAGACACTGATGGCGGTTATATGGAAAAATTGTTTTTCATAGCTGAATAATTGCTCTATCCAGCAGAGATATTGTACTCCCTTTATCTGTTGTAGTTTCCATGGAAATCAATAGGTGGCAATACTTTCAGATTATCTTGCCTTTTTTTTCTTTTTGTGGGAAACAATCAACTGTAAATCTGAATACACTATACGATAAAAGCTTACTGTGACATTAAAATTTCAAAACATTAAAGCTGTTTTGCAGAAAGGACCAGAGAATCTAATCCATTCCAACCAACTTTGTCAGTTAGATCTTTATTATATGAAAGACCTCTGAAAATCATTTGACTTGTTGACTATGGGCAGGAAAGTCTTACAGAAGACCTACAATCTAAAGACCTTATGATTATCTTGATGTGTCATACAAGTAAAGTCTTGTTTCAAAGGTTAAGGCTAGTAACATCTACACCATTCTCCATTATGCAGACCTAAGAATCTCAATACACATGGAAGCAGTAATACCGTAAAATTGAAGCAGTCTCTGGTTGACAGACTTTCTGAATGCAATTGTGGCAGAAGAAGTTGCATCTATCATGTGGGACTCCATTGGCCATTAATGCACTCACAACAGATGTGAAATCCACTTTAAAGTTTTTGTCCATGAAGTCAAGCCATGATACATAAAATATGTGCATATAAAATAACATCACTTAAATTATGAAAACGTTTCATATTAAAAAATAAAATGTCATTTTTTATTTGTGATTGACTGGAATATATTTATATTCAGGTTTATGATAACTTTCATGCTTCAAACATAGTCAGTTTTCAGTTTTTATCTTATATTTTTTTTTTGTTTAATAAAATGTTTTCAGGATCCAGCATCTTTTTTAAGCTTCAGGGCTCTCCTCTCTCACACACACACACACACACAGTTGACAGCTTATATCACCAGAATGGTCTTAGCTATCTAGAATGTAAGGCTACATACATATATATATATATATATATATATAATATATATAAAATATATGTGTGTGTAAAAATATATAGAAAATAGGAAAGAACTCGTTAGGTAAATAATCCAAAATAAAATAAATCTCCCTAGACACTTAACCAGACTAGACGATGTCATCTTCCGTTTTGAATTTAGACACCCCAACCTTACCCTGACTTGACCTCTTTGAATGTAACTGAGATATTGATACAAATTATTAACCCTTACGCCCCTTTTCTTTAAATAATTGCTCTAGCCGTTACCAAAGTAATTTTAATAATGAATATGCTTATAAAACACGTAAATTTCAGGAATTAGTTATTCAAAAAAAAATTTTGCTTGAAGCTGGAACAGAGCTTTGAACTTTATTTCAATTTAATTCAAACAATTGAAGTTTTCAGCTCTTGTTTTGAAACATGAGAACTCTTATGTAGTGATGGAATCATATTAAATAATTATTTATATATGATAAATGCAAAAGTCATTGCATCATTGTGTCATACTTTTTCAACTTTACCCTTAGAGGATGTAGCCCAACATATTAGGCCATTTTGGAATCAAACCATCTCCATGAACAAATTAAAAACATTCTGGGCTGGAACTGGACCTACTATCCTGAAATTTTGGATTCCCAAATTTTCATTACTGAGATTGTTTTCAGTGTTTTTATTTTTTATTTTTTTTTATGTGATTTTTGTGACAAAATTTTGTGCAATAACAAGTTTTATGACTTGGAAATAAATTTGGGAATAATCAAAATTAATTGCAAAATCCAGCGACAATCATCCATGAAATAAAAATAATTGTTTGTATGGAAAGTAAAAACCCACATCCATCAAATTGTCTTTAAATTAAGTGACGGCAGAAGAATTATCATTGAACTTTTTAAAAGGTAAGCTTAAATATTAATGCAATACTTAAATGCAGCTATCAATGTTGAGTTCTGTAGTTTATTGTTGCCTATCACATCTACTCCTCCCAACCTATTGTGATGAAGGCCTAATCAAGAGCCCTTCGCAGGAGATAGCTTAAATGTTCTTATTACACTTGAAATTTGTTTTAGTTGATTAATATGTGATTCATACTAAGAAGTATCAATGGTCTGAATTGACTCTAATGTCCATTTGAAAACTTTAATCTGTGGTGACCACAATATGTACTTGATTCATCCTAAGATATACCAAAGTAAGTATTGTCATTACCTCAGAACATCAAAAGACCTAGGTGCCTTGAGGATTATCCTAGGTGGCCAAAGAACCTGGGCTCAATGGATGTTGGTGGGGATGTACTAGCATAAACAGGAAGTGAACCTAGCTGAACTAGAGATATATGCACACAAAAGACAGCTAGATTACGGGAAGTATATTAAATGTCTGATCCATGAGGAGGAGGGTAGAGTCTTACATTTTAGCAAGAAGATTCAATGCTTGAAGAAAATCTCTGAAACTACATACCTCTTCCACAACCAATGTTAATTTGATGACACCCAGAAGGGAATAAACAATTATTTTACACATGAAAAATTCAGTTTTGTATTCTTATCAGACATTGCTAACATAATATTGCATGTTGTTCTTAGATGTTAAAAAGCAATTATATCAGTTTGAAATTAAGCTAAAATCAGACATCAATTTTGTGTATGCATAATCAGTTTTTTTTAAATTGTTATTTCCCTTATTGGCTTTTAACCCAATTTATTTTTGTTTTTTTTGTTTTTCAATAGGCCAAGTCCTTATCAAACAGCTGGGACCAGGTTTCTTATTTAATCAATCCAGTTTCTTTATTCAAGTTCTCAGCTGTGAAGACCTTAAAAACCAATGGTAAAGTCTTTTTGTTTTTTAGTTTGAATTCAGTTGACACATAAAACATTTTATTGTTTCTTCTTAGAAGGATTGTTGTTTCATCTTTTCCTTCAATAGAATTCTTTTAAACTTTTGTCATTGTTGTATATAGATTTCTCAGACTTTGCAGTGTTGATTTTCAGGTTTTAAAACCAAAAATAATCCCATGTTCAGATTTTCTATTTTTAGTAGTTTCCTGGCTTTATTTAAAATTATATAGTTTACAAGCTCTATAATGATGATATTCCAGTAATTTTTGCAATCACATTATAATGGAATTATTTCTGTACTGTTCAACACTGTTGTCAATTTTAAGAAAGAATTAAACTACTATGTAGTAAATTGGTCTAATATCTGACTTGTTGAGTTATTTTATTTTTTTAATAATAAAGTGACAGGTAACGATTACTTTTGTAAATGTTCTAACATGTACTTATTTGTAAGTTTCTTTTGTTGTTTAATCTTCTGAATTTATCAGTTATTCTCTTTAATAAGCATTGATTGAAAACCTTTCTGTTATGAGGATTTTCATCACCTTTTCCTTTTTTGAAAACAATTTTCAACGTGTCTCCACTACATGCTATATTTAAGTTTTGTATCACTAAGAAATTATTCTTTATTTTATAACATCATCTATTTCTTTGATTGTTAACATAAAAATTAGGAATGAGAGCCCTGCCTAATGATAGCCTTCAGAGCTTAAATGGTTAAATTAGGGATGAGAACCCTGCTTAGTGATGGCCTTAAGAGATTAAATCATCAGCTGTGAATTATGATCTTCCAAATTCGTTGATGCAAGTTTGAGTCTTGTCTAAAGATTATCTTAATTTCTACAGTTTAATGTATAAACAGCAGTAGTATTAGTTGTAATAGTATTCAACATCTTTTTGTAGAATTATAGATTATTAGTAATTTTTTTACTAGTATTTCATCTTCATTTCAGTTGCTTTTCATATATTAAATTTAATTTTGATCATTTTTTGAGTTCAATATAATGGCTTATTTTTTCGTTTATTCTTTTTTTTTCTTGTCAAGGTTATATATTGTCTTATTGAAAGATTGATCTCACAGCCAAATGACTGCTGTCCAGATAGATTTCATTCATTTTGTTATTAGCATATTGTATCCAATCTAAAACTTTCTTCAGGTGTTTTTAATAGAGCAAAACAAAAGAATGGCAGCAAAAGGTGTTGGGTAGGAGGTGTTGAATAAATTTATTATTTAAAACCTTAAAGGAATGACTATATACACAGTTGATCCCATATTTTATATTGGGTTATTCTCTGCCTTTTTCTTACTCAGTAAAGCTATCAATGCTGCAATGAAACCTACACTACCTGACTTATGTTTTTATTCAAAGGTTCTTTTTTATTTAAAACAATACTCTTCATTCATGGAGTTCTTCAGTCTATCATTCTTTTTATTGATTTTGTTATCATATTTTGGTTGATCATAATGTGTACAATTTGTACTGTACAGCAAACCAAAAATGGCTGTATTCATTCCCCCCCCCTGCAAAGACTGTTTCCCACAAAGTCTTTTTTAATATAGTGTAAGATCATCTGATTCAAAATTTCATGGTGGGTCATCCAGAAATTGTTGGGTGTCTATAGATACAGGTATTAGTGTGGACTCTTGACTCTTTTTGAGCAATGAGTAGGTGATGGCTGAAACATGAATCCCAAAGAACAAAGCCTCTAGTATGTTTTTAGATTGCCTTATTCAAAGTCAGATATGTGTTCATTTGCTGATGATGGATTGTCTAACATTGGTGGAATTGCTTTCTCACAAAGGCAAAATTTCAGTCAAGGTCATTTGTATATGAGTTGATTCTTTTAAGCTAAATCCTACACCCAACTAGACTGTATCTCTTTAGAGGAATAGGGAAGTGCTTCATGGGAAATTATTCAAGAGATGTGCTAATAGTAGAATGTCAAATATTAGTGTCAAATATAGTCATTGGATCTCTCTGTTCACAGCAATGTTATATAAGCAATTTCATATTCAATTGACCAACCCATTCTTAGTAATGTAACACCAGTTATTCTCTTTAAATTGAAGAGCCAAAAAAAAAAATCATCTAATGTATAGCTCCTCCTTTAACATAAATAATGGTAGCTACTCTATAGGAAATGGAGTTTGCTCATAGATTGTAGTCTTTGAATATCTATCTAGATATATTCCAGGGATGTCCATAACAGAGTTGTTTGCTGGGTGTGGCTGTGAGGAATTAAGAGACAATGTTTCTCATACATGCACAATGGCAGGGGATGCACTGGAGTACCTGGAAGTCAGTTGAATGTTCCTAGAGCTAGTATCATTTTATCTGCATGTGATATATGTTGCATCATTTTGCAGGAACAAACTCTCACCACCAGGAAATATGGCAGGCATAAAGAAATGGTTTTCAGCAGGAACTGTGTATTTCATGACTGACTCTAGTTTCACTAATGGGCCTTGCAAATGCCAACACACTGTTGACAGGCTAGATACATATACCTCTCCCATATACAAACTTAATCACCTGCTAAAAATTAGAAACAACTTATCAGACCAGGTGACACAATGTCTATTTTACACTGTCCAATAATGATATTCCCTGGTCTCGATAGGTGCATTAACATATGCTGTAAGGATAGTAATGATACAATGGTTGGTTGATGGCCACCAATCTTCCATATGATGCAGTGTAAATTGTACAGAGCATTGGCTGATGGATTGAACATCACCGTCATTGAATTGTGATATGAATTAATTCAATGTTCTCTTTTGTTGTGCAGTTACTATATTTGTTAGTTACCAGCAATTAAAATGGATCTAGATTAGTTTTGAATGTTTTTTTTAGTTTTATTAATATACTTTGAATCAAGAATTTATTTAATGATATATAATATATATATATATATATATATATATATACTTTAGACTTTTCTTATACCAGATGTAATTAAAGTAACTGTCGCATTTGAAATGAAAAATAGAAAAAAAAAAAAATGTGATAATTAAAAAAAACAAAAAAAGTTTGAAAACAATGATCTCTAGAGACAGTATACCTGTATATTATTCATGTGGAATCATATTTGTATAAAAAATGACCACTGAGTTGATTCTTGGTGGAGCAGGTTCTCTGATTTGAGCTCCAAGGGTCCCCTGATATCACATCTCTAGATATTTGGGAGAGGGGAACTATATTAAGAATGTACTTTACAAAATAAAGCTTGAAACATATCACATTTAAGTTTCAATGAAGAGGTAGAGTTAGTATCCGAAATGTGTCAAAATGCTACTCAAAATTTTCAATAAAGATGTCAAATTTGCATTGAAAATGTTGGTTCATCTATTTAGAAAGATTAATTTTACTTTTTGTTAAATTTAATAAACAAAATCCAGCAATCTTGGACCTTTATCCTCACAAAAAAATGTAGTGTGAAAAAGACAGTTTTTCCCTTGACACTGCTATTATTTTAACGACCCTCACTTCTTGGCAATTTTTGTTGTTTTAAAAAGGGATGATCAGAATTGTAATAAAACATATGATGAAAGTGAATTTATACATTTTTTTTTTGTTCTTGAGAATTTATAACAAAAATATTAAACTTAAATGTTACTTTTGCTTAGGAAAAAAAGATTCACATTTATTTTTTTATATTGAATTATATCTAATGGTGTATTAGATTTTTATCCAGTAATGCTGCTGAGATTTTTTTTTTTTAATTATCACTGCTTTTTTTAATATTCCACCAGCTTCTTTGAAGTTCCTCAACCTCTAATGTCTTTCTGTTTAGATCTTTTTCATTGCAAACATCTTTCTCTAGTTTAATTTCTATTTCTGCACTGATAATGCTTTCTCTTTTTCCTGTTTCTGAGAATTTTCCTGCTCCAGTGAAATTGCCTAATGAGTTTTATTTCTGTTTATTAGAAATCCATTCCATGCAGACGATTGGCTTTGTCTACTTCTGGTACCTCTTCCTCTTCTCTGGTCTTGAATTCACTCTCACATTCCTCATGCATTCCCGTTTTGGCTACACCAGGCAAGTGAATTTTCTGATACTTGCACCAGTTTATTGCAGCCAAGTAAGTGGCTACTAATATAAAAAACAGTATTTGGAGAATTATCAATCAAAATACTTACCTTCAGAGCTTAAAATATCTTATCCTTGTCTATAAACGCAGGCATTTCCTGTAGCAGGAGAAAAAATATAGCCAGTTCTTGAATATTGTCATTGTAGCATTCTTTGATTTTTGACACCTTAGAAAATGAATACTGAATTACCATAGAATAATCTTAAAGATTTTTTTTGATATTTAAGAGACAAGGAACTGATTTTTCAATAGCAGTCATGATATTGTAATAAGGTTGACAAAAATTCCTGTAATTTAAATCTATATAGGAAACAATGTATTCACTATCTGTCTGTATCTCTGAGATGAGGTATTATGATTACTTACATACATTATTCAGGCTGTTATCCTCATCTTCATTGTCATATTCACAATGTGAGAACATGATTAAGGACTGTGGGTATGCCATCCCATGTAGCTGTAGTAGGAAATACGAAGGATAAACAGGCTGCCCCCTTAAGGTAAGACTACAAGAGCATTGTAAAGTGGTAACACAAGGGGAAATAGAAAAATCAGGCCTAGCTGACCACATATAAAGGGAAAAGGGTGATCACCACCCACTGTAGTATGAGTTTGAAATAATAGACAGAGCATTACTGGAAAATACGAAAACTTAAGGAATCAGCACATATGCTAGGCCACAAAAATCTCCTGAGCCGACCAAGCATAGAAATGAATACAATATGGGAACCAGTAATTAGGAAGGCCAAAGAAAAGCAATAACAACGAAAATTGCAATATGAGCTCTGGTTAAAAATGGTTGCTGAAGACATTAGGTTTATAATTCCCCAAAATTCATACCCAGATGTCGTCCAGAGCACATGGCCCAGTGGATAAAAATAGATAAAGTTAGATCCAGTGACTAGATCCAAAGAGTTGTGAGTTCAATACCAGGCCACAGCAGAGTTGAGTTAAAAGGAAATAACTGCGACACCCGGAAGATGAATAATGTACCCGGTGAAGAAGAAAATGGTAGCTTACCTCATCAATTGAAAAACCTCCACATTGTATGCTGCTACAGATGAGGTCTGTGCTATAGATTTGATTTTCAGTTTGAAATTCCAGTCACTTGATGAAGACAACAGCCTAAACATTGTAAATATGGCAGTGAAGATGAGGATAACAGTGTAAATAATGTAATTTATGTATTGATCCTGTTTCTATAGTCTGTATCATGATTAAAATTAGCTTCAAATAAATTCTTTAAATTTTAAAAAAGAAACTCATCCAGTAGAATCTTATAGACTGGTGCTACAAAATCACAAACAAAGGATTTTACCAAATAGCAAAGTCTCCATCACTTGAATATTTCTTACAGCAGCTTATAGTGCAGAAAACAGCATCTTAATTGTCAAACCAAGCAACAGCATGTTGTGTGTATTCTACAATGGAAAATATGGTGAAAAAGAAAATTACTTACCAAAAAAAAAAAATGACACATATTCCGCATGACATGCTGAAGATGGAATATTTGAATTAGAAACAAGTCAGTCGCAGGAGTCACTATAAAAGTATTTTGATATGCTAAAATTGAGTGTCCTCTCCCAGTTGTCGACGAATGAAAAAAATGCTTGCCTCTTAAAGCAAGAGAAAATAAAGCTTCTGGATTTTGGCTACCACGTTTGTTGGAGAGTGAGTTATTTTTCTGACTGGTTGCATGCATTGTGATTTGTGAGATAGTACCTGTGAATCGAGTTTTCGGCATTTCTTTCTGTCCCTGATGTTCAAGTCTGAACTTACAGTAATTTATTCTCTGTGTTGTGGAAGTAATCTGCGACAAATATTTCCTTTGCAATTCAAGAACACTTACACAGCTAGAACAGAAATGGGTAACACGTGTAAGTAGAAGAGAAAATAATATAATCAAAATGTTAACTTTCTATACTACCAACAACAAAAGATTTGAAAGGAAACTGCTATCAATATTAGAAAGAGCTATGACAGTGAACTTGGAAATGGTTAATATTATCATTCCTATTAATGATTTAAGTATGATACATGAAACATAATTGTTATTTATTAAACTTAGCTGAATATGTGAAAAAGAAAATGGTGGCTTACCTCATGAATGGAAAAACGTCCACATTGCTGCTACTGTCAACAAAGACAAACCACTCAGATGAGGTTTGTGCTATAGACACAAGCATACAAATTTTCTTTTATGTCTAATCCTGAGTGTTACAAATGCTTTATAAATTTCTGTTTGTTACCAGGCAGTGGGTTGGCAGCATCTTCACTGTTTGAGTGCAACCTACAGATTTTGAGATCATTGCTTTTTACAATAATCTAACACAAGGACACAACCTTAGTGCACTGAGTGAATGTTTAGCTATATTTTTACTCATGGAGCATGTATGCTAACCATTGTTTCAGGGTAAGCATGCAAAGTATTTTTTCATGAGGCTTCTGAAGAGATATTTACTAAACTTAGCCAGATCAATATGATAGGACACAGAATACTCATGAAATGATTTAAAAATATAGATGTTAAAATTGCTTCATAACATGTCATGCATAGTTGTTACTAAGCTTAACTTTGTCTGGCACAAGGACACAGGATCATCCAGTAAGGATGGAAATTTTTCTGCAATCAGTTTGCAAAACTAGTTCATTAATCATCACTAAGAGACTTGCTAGCCAGTGCACTATGGTAGGCGGCCAAATTAGAAGTAGTTAAGTGATACAAAGTATTTGAAAATAAAATTCATAGGAAAGATGCCATCAGTGGCGTTGCTAGAGTAAACGTCGCCCGGGGCAGTCCGCACAAATGTCACCCCAATGACCCCGATTCACCCCATGCTGAATGGTTAGCTGTAGCTAAATTTTCATACATGCTCTACCTCTACTTTACTCTACTGACTGGTACATTACTGTTTACATGTATGATCCAAGACAAAATCCAATACCACAAAATAATCAGTTCAAATCAAAAGATTTTTAAAATGCAACTGTTCACTTTCAGAACAACTAAATACAAAATACGGCAATACACAAAAGAATGACATTCGATACTATGGTCTTAGAATGAATGTTTTCTTGTTTTCATTGTGGCAAACTGGTCAATGACATCGTCAAAATCTGTTTGTCTTGTAAGCTCGTTTTCAATGGGCAGCACAGCCAGATCCGACAGTCTCGACTGGCTCATGGTTGACGTAATTTTCTGTTGCTAATTTTCCAGTGTATCATTTTCTGGGTACCATTTAATTATCAATGATGTTTTGAAAGTATTTTTCTTGACAAAAATGTTCTATTTAATTTTTAAGCATTTTTTGGAACATTGTAAATCAACTGCATTCTTTTAAAGGTTACCTAGAGAATTTATGCAAAGTTTATTTTTTTTGTTTTTCTTTATACAAGTAAAATAAATTTAGATCGTATTTTGATGTTATGATTTTAATTTTAGTGATAATTTAAAAAACGAAAATATTTATCATTAGTACCAATAATGGAAAATTAAGTTAAAAATTTAAAAGAATCATTTTTGGAATCGGAAAATAGGCACAAATTTTTCTGATACCGTTTCCAATACCCCAAAATGTTCCGATTCTCGATTCCGATTAATCGTCCCAACACTAGTAGATATATTCAAAAGTATATCACTCACTCAATGGAAAATTGTATCTCAGCGAATTGATACACAGGCAAGACTAAAATTGTTGCACTTTTGGCTTCGTATTTCGCTTTGTTGTTATTAATGATGCAGAGTTAAAACACCATATCATCCGATAAAATGTTACAACAATGTCTCTTGTTAGTAACCAAGATTGTAGCAACTGAAACACATGAAAGCTGAAAACATACTCACAAATTTCCAGACAATTTATTAGAAAATTTCTGATGGGGGGGACAAAACTGGGGGGGTCATAAATTATTTCTGGGGGGGTCATATGCCCGTCTGCGAAACCCTGTGTCTCCACCACTGTTTTCAGACTATTTTTGGCACCATAGCCTAGTTGAAAAATTTTGTTGGGGGTGACACAATGTCACCCCTCCTGCGCTGGCACCTGGGGCAGTCCGCCCCCCTCGCCCCCCATTAGCTATGCCACTGGATGCCATTATAATAATTCATAGGAAAGATGCCATTATAATAATGTACATGGAGAGAGATAATTGTATTGTTGTTGGAAAGTTAATTGTTGTTCATTTTTAACAATTTCAAATGAAATAATCTCATTGATCCAGTTTCTTTGTTTATGATACAACAAAGAGTGTGTTGTTTTTGCTTTAAGCTTTGAAAGTCGTGTATCAACATACAGTTCCATTTAAAGATGCTCTCATTGTTCCAGCCAAGACCAGAGATATTTTCCACATCATTGTTCAAATCTTAATCTTACTTTCAAGAAATAAGCTTAAAATTAGCTTCTAAATAAAAAATAGTTTGTTTGGTTTATTATGACTTTGTTACTAGTTTTTATCTTTGTTATATGCCACCTTATTGTTGCTGTTTTTTATTACAATACTCTGGGTTTGATATGTATTTTAGCATTAGTTTATTTCTATTTTGATTCCACGTTATTATTGTTGCTTTTTATTATGACACTCTTTCTATACACTCTTCATTATGACTTATTTTACTATTGGTTTTACTCCTGCATTGTGTTTTTTTTTTTATAATCTGAACACTTCAGGTTGGTTGGGAAAATGATTAATGCCAACATTACAACATAAATAAATGTCCAGCAACAGCCAACAAAAAAACTATCCAACAACATCCTAAAGTACCTTAAAAGACATTAATGAAATCAAACATATTTGAAGGGGATTCTAATAAGCTCTAGGGTAGAAGGTTGTAAAAAAAATCCAAAAATGAAATTGTTTTGTAACATGAACCTGGGGCTAGTGCACCTTACTTGGTGATTCTATGGTGGTTGTGGGTGGATCCTAGTCTGCCTTGTTATTTAACCCATAGATAGAATAAGAGATGAATTTTTACCTTTCCTAAGAGTATTAATGCAAAGAGACAGAATTTGAACTTTGCTTACTGATTCTACTTTCTTCAGCAATAACTATGGTAGAGGTACAAAACGTGATTATCTCCCTTTGGTTGAGATGAAGTCACTTTGGTCATGTGACATCACTTTATACAAAAGTGACTAGTTTGCCACTCGGCAGTCAAACCAAATGGTTGCTTTTTTTTTTTTTTTTAGCCCAGGCCTCTTGTCCTGAGCTGAAATTAAATTTGCCTTCTCCAGCCAGCTTACAAGCACTGTTTTCCTATGGAAATATATCTTCACCAGATATAGAAACAATCTCTGGTTTGTCCTCAGTTTGGGAAAAATCCATGACTCTCCATTTCCTTGTCCTCGCTAGTGCCATAGCAGATAAATACGGCCTATTCGAATCTGGAATCATAAATATAGCTTCTCCAGAAACACAGAAGGATCTCTGGACAAATTTCTACTGGGAATTAATACAAGTAAAACTCTATCTTTTCGTACTGTTTGTGTAGACAAGTTACAGTTTCTCTGTGTGAGATAAATATAAATATCTATATATAATTTTGTGTATGACTTAGCAATATAAAACTCTCTCTGAGAACTAAGCATGTTTGTCACTCCTTTTCTTTCTGTTATTCTGTTCTGTCCATTAAGTAAAGTGTTATTATCTCATGGATATAATAATACCCGTAATGGGGAAAATGCAAATGGAAGCTATTCCTATCTTCCATGGCTCAACTATTATCTATTGAACCCAATGACATGTGATATTCTTAACCCCCTTCATCTGGCAACCATGAGATGATAATATAAACCCCTATTATCAGGTCATACCAATGTGATATATTATTAGTATCTCATTACCTTTAAGCTACCTGAACATCTTGATGAAAATTCATGTTGTGAAACTATAAATGTGATTCATTTCCCACTGCTGGAAGAGGAAGGTAAACAAGATCTTTCATTTATTCCGTGTGTCAACTGACACACACACAGAGAGAGAGAGAGAGAGACTTCTTACTTTTAACACCTGAAATGATACATGAGGGAACAGTATTAAGATGCATGGATGGTATGCTTAGGCTGAGGGTGGATGGCTTGCCCTTCTTGAGGGAAACTCTATTTCTTTTCTTTGATTTGGTCTGTCCAAATCAATACCATTCCCTCATTGTCTGACTTAATTTCATTTTCATCAGAGGTGAGAAGACGATCTTTAGCATTATCTTTCAATCCAAGTTTCTTTTAAGCTTATGACAATGCATAAAAATTAGTTGATAATGCAGATATTTAAAAGAAGCCATTACTTGTTTGCTTTTAAGTGAATTTCTTGTTTTAATTAATTTTTTTTTCTTTAAATTGTATTTAAAAAAAACAACTGAAATATTATTCCGAATTTTAATTATTGGTTGTTAGAAAATATAAAATATTGAGCTTGAAGTCATCTTAGAAATGTAAATAATATTTCTAATAAATATATATATATATATATATATAGGGTTGAGATTTTCTGTCTACCCAGATCTTTTCAGTCTCTCACAAGGTTTTCTCTTTGCTTATTTTCTTTTTCCTCTCTGTGAGCAATTCTATTTATGCATTTCCCCACTTCCTGTTGGGTAACTATATATATATATATATATATATATATATATATATATTTTTTATGTGTGCAGTACTTAGTGGAAAGCGCTCAATATCAGTGATAGAGCTAACATATTCAGTTGTATAGATGAGTTTGTGAGCCTGGGTTTCACGCTTTTGCAGTTATCAGACAAACTGGTTTATTTTTTAAAATTGAATCTATTTATGCTTGTTTGACTATGTTTGGTGGTAGGAGGGGGAATCTACTTCTCTGTTTGTTTGGGGTGACACTCTCATATGCATAGACACACATATATACAGGTGTATGCATTTTAGTGTCACCCCCAAATTCCCCCTCCCACCACCAAACATAGTCAAACAAGCATAAATAGATCCAATTTTAAAAAAAATAAACCAGTTTGTCTGATGATTGTAAAAGTATGAAACCTAGGGTCACAAACTCATATCCATACAACTGAAATATACACACACACACACTATGGTTGTTTGTACATTTTTTCTTCATTTGTTGAACTATCCGAGGATTGCTTCATAGCATGAAACTTGAAATCATAAAGAAGTCTATTCTTCTGACATTTTGAATTGGATTCCAGCTCTATTCTATGTTGCCTTTCTAAATGGAGATTTCTACTCTAGATTTCTGATCATTTTTCATGTTATTGAGTTGAGTTAAGGTTTTAAATGCATTTTAGTTTTTGTTCTTCATGGCTCCACCAATTCTAGTTATATAAAAAATGTATAAAGAATATTTTAAGTATATATCAATAATCTTAAGCAACTGATTTTTTTTATTAGTAATGCATTTGAGTAGATATCCCTGGTTTTTAAACAGTGGAATTGACAGGTATGAAAATAAAATTAGTAGACAAAGGCTGTAAAAGTTCCTAGTGAGATATGAATTTCTGAGCCTGAATAATTGATCATTGCTTTGCTGTGAGGTCTCTCGTGGCTAAGTACTTAAGCATGCATAGCTTAATGGTGTTTGTCACCAGGATAAATGGAATTCAGGTTGGGTACATTCCTTTTAATAAACTTTCCAGTAGAAATCAATTTCACTTATACTTTTTTTAAAAAGGATATCTACACAGATATGTGTATCCATTAAATATAATCAAGATATAAGAATATTTAAAATCCGTATACATATAGATACAAATAAGGATTTGGGGTTTATGTTGTGCTTACACTAACAAGATTTGTGACTGTTTTCTTGTTTTTGTTTTGTTTTTATTTAATTTTTTTAATTTTATTTTGCAGCATGCAACAAGGCAAAATGTTCTTCTTTATTGGATCCTTCATGGCTTTAGTCCAAGGTAAAAAAAAAACAACATTATTACTCTACAAAGTCAGTCCAGTATATAGCTAGCTATTTTTATTTATCTCAGGAATTGGTCATGTGGCTTTGATTTATCTTGCCAGAAGGGACTCTACTGTCTATGTATGAACAGACACTCTTCTGTAGATTTACTCTGGTGACAATGAGCTTGGATAGCATTGCAGTCACATTAACCAAGCAAGCAGATTCTTCATACTACTTGCAGAGATTTTTGACAGAACAACATATCACCCAGGAATTTCAAAGACTTACAGCCACTTTGTCACTTTGGATTTTCTCAAAGCTAAAACTACCATGAACAATGTTAAGAAGAATGTAATGAGTCATCTGATGGTGACTTCCAAATATGACTTTGCAAATTGTTTTGAAAAAATAGAAAGGATGATGAGATAAGTGTTAGATCTTGAGGAGTTACTTTGAAGGGTCGGTGACTAATGTACCATTGTTCTAAATAGGCTTTTGCTTCATTAAGTAATTGTTTATATAATGGATGTACTTTATACTCACTTTTTTCTGAGCAGGAAATTAATTATCTCACTCACCCTGTTTTTTTAAGTTCATTATTTTTTCTGTAACTCATTTAAAATTATCAGAGAATACACAATTGTTGGCTATGAATATTAAGTTATTATTTTTGACTGCTGTCCATTGGTTGATTGTTAGTTAATCATTGAGTCACTTAGTGTATGACTGCCTTGATATAAATAAATATCAATTTTTCTTGAGACTTAATGTCCTTGTGTTTATTTATGTTTTGTAGTAATCTTCCCAAAGAATTAAATACAATAAGACAGGAGATCATGTATAACTTTATTCAAATATCTTCAGTCAGTCTTGTTGCGGACCCAATAGCGTGCAGTGCTGGTTTATTAAAAGGTGGCCTTGTGCCAGACACTACACAAAACTACTGAATCCACAAACAAAGTAGAAATATATTGCGTGAGTGAACTTAGTGAGGAAAAGGGGTCAATCAACAAGTGCATAAATAATAATACAAGTAAATAGCCGGAATTAAATGACAACTGGTTGAAAAACATATATGAAATTTTATTATATTTAAACAAGTAAGTTGTCTCGTTAGTTGAGACCATTAGTAAAAGTGTTCCACGCCAAAACAGAAAACCAAGATGGCCAAGGCGGGAAAAGGTTTCATCAGAAAGAAAGTTCTGGAAAAAATGACTTGTTAAACGAAAGGTGTATGTGTACACAAATAGGAAAAGTACTCACTGTGTAGTTTGATAGTGTGAGTGTATGTAATATTTTTTAGGTACTGGTTCAGAGTAGTTAGAAGGTTCAAAGGTGTATGAACAGATTATCAACTTTCATTGAGGAGAATTCAGAGTTGTTTGCATCAAGATGAGGTTGAGTCTTGGAATGGTGTGAGAGCGACCGTGTTGTAGAACTCTGGTAGTGAATAGAGGAAGCTTCGAAAGTTATTCGCATCAAGAAGTTGGTCTTGGAAAAATATATATTGACGACGGTGTCGTAGGAACTCGACGTTTTCTAGTTGAAAACGGAGAAGGTTCAACAAGCTGTTGCATCAAGATGAGAATGAGTCTTCGAAAATTGTTAGGTTGACATGTTGAAGTTTTGGTTAGTTAAGAATAAGATATTCCGGCCCGCGTATGGGTTAGGGGCACGGAATAAATGAGTTGTCCGTCTAGCTTGAAAATCGGGATGCAACTGAGTTGGGAACGCTGGACGTCTGTGACGTCAGGAAAACGCGCGGGAAAAATTCAAATTCTGATTTTAGACGTTATCAGGAGCAGCTAGTCAGCAACCTTCCTCGCCGCCAGCCAAAAAGGCTGTTTACTGCTATGTCTGGCTTAACGAGAGAGGAAGGGGTGCAATCCGCGGGCGCGCACACACGCACAAGTGTGGAAGAAAGGGAGGAAAACTCGCGTGCGCGTAAAATGTAGGTGGAATTACTATGTTATTCCACAGTCTCTTCATCATCATTGAATATTGCTTTCTATTGATTTTATTCTGGTGCTAATTCAATAATTTTCCTTCTGTCATGTTATCTAAGAAGTTGACTCTTCTAATGTTTTTGCATTTTCAACTGTTTGTGCCATTGTGTTATTTTATTTATATTTCCGTTCCTTTTCTTTTTTTACCTTAATTTCTGCTCACTGTCCTTGCCTTGCATTTCATGCACTTCAAACTTTAACCTTTGTGAGCTTGGATAGCATTGCAGTCACATGCAGTTTTTATGTGCATTCTGTAAACTCTGGTCCATTCTAGCTCTTCTAATGATAATAGGAATGGATAAAAATGATCCATTCTATTTGTTGTATTTGCTAAACTGTACAATTTTTTTCAGAAACAAATTCTTTAAAAAGATTGCTCTTTAGAAATTTCACTAAAAAATTTAAAAACAGCCAGAAAATGTGGTTAATACACTCGAATAATCATTGTTTTTGAGATTCTATTTTGATACATTTGGTGTTAACTTTTGTCAATCCTGTCTGCATCTTTTGAACTTTTTGAACACTGCTTTTATTTACGTCCATTTTTTCTTTTTGCAAGGCTGTTGCACCAGACGCATTCCATTTGGGAAGGAAAAGTATGTGGCCACCATTGTAAGTTTGTTTTTCTTACTTTATCACAAGTCCAAATATAAAAAGTTGGCATTTGGCCTTTCAAGTTAAACTCTTGCAAAGTTTCCCTTCAAACCCATAATTCCAGTGTTACAAAAATCCTTGTAAAATATTTTATCTGCAATTATCCTAATTATGAAGAAGTTTACTTCCTTGATGATTTTTGTGTGTGTAAACAGAAATTCCAGGTGTCTTTTTAGGAAATTTATTGATATTTAATGTGCAGATGGTGTAACAGTTATCAGCGAGAAATGCATAATTGGGGAGATGAGTTCAAATTTGAGCCTAGTCTGTTGCGTTCCATTCACACTAATGCCTTTTGGAAAGACATGAATCCATTTCTCTACAAGTTTTGGGTTAAATACCAAAGTAGATTTGGCTCACTAGACTGCAATAGGCAAAAGTGTTTTCTATATGATATAAAAAAAAATGCTGGCTCACCTTAATTGCAGCTATGTGCAGATTTTAGTAATTTCCTATTTTACGTTCATAAAATCGAAACAATATCAAAGCAAAGTTTATTTCAATAAGACATTACAAAATTAAATACTCATTTTATTTTTGTACACACTTGTGTACCAGGTTTTACTATAGTTAATATCTCCCTGATTTATTAAACCACACTCCATGTTGCACGTTTGACACATAAGAGAATTTTTGGTCAATCCATGGTGGGTACACTACAGAATACAAGTAAACCGATCTGGCATAGATCGTGTCATGATTGTATGCTTTTTGTTGATTACCTGTTGTACAATAAGTATTTTGTTGGATTTACACGGAAACAAGGAGCAGCAGAGTATTTGCCAGGCTTATGGAAATGGAACTAATTTTAAACAAGAGCTAAAATTAGCTCTGATTTAAACAAATTCAATTTTATGAACATAAAATAAGAAATTGCCCATTTTCTTAACAGATAAAAATAATTATCTAAATCTTTACAAAAACGTAAATAATATTACGGTTATCTTGAGAATTTTAGGATTATTGTGTTGATCTGTTTTAATGATTCTTCCATCAGCTCATCCAGAACTTTTAAATTGTTTTCAAATAGTACACTGAAAAAGAAGCTAAAAAAAAAATCAGCTTGGCTGAGCTGAAAATTTTTTTTATGATATAAAAAGGTCATGTGGTGTAGTATTTCTATTTGTTATTTTAATTACTTTTTTTATGCTATGAAAGAAAAAAATGCTAAATGATGTTTACTGTATTTTGTTTTTCCTACAAACCCATTAAGTTTTGAGGATTGATTTTGCCATTTCCTTATCTAAATGAGAAAAGCTAGTTGGAATTCTGTCAAACAATATCTTCCAGCTTTTCTTTGACATGATCACATTCTCTGGAAGAAGTTTTGCATTAACTTTTTATTTAGTAAAATCCCTTTAAAATATTTATTGTATGTAATTGATGATTTTGCCATTTTTTTAAAAAATAAATGCACTCTAATATGAGAGTGTGTCATGTAGACCAATGGTTAGGACGCAACTTAGGCTAATCATTCATTTTTGGAGTAAGTTCTGGGTGCTATATAATTGTAGCCTTGTATCAGACTATATTATGCATAGTAAATACCTACAGTTTTAATTAAGTGAATTATTCTATTGTATATTGAAGTATTTTACAAGATCTTATTCTACTGCGAAACAACAAACTAACCAAGGTGTTAATATTTTGGTTAGTTTTTGCTTTAGAAATTAATTTTAAATAATTTATGATCAGAATTCTATTTGTTTGTTGTTAGAACAATACTGTTAAAAGACTCTAACTTTGAGAATAGAACAATTTCAGTCTAGTTGGGCTGCTAGTTTCCAAGTAATTTGTAATTAAGCATAAACTGAGAAAAACAAAATGGGTAGAGAAGGTTTGATAAGGGAGATAAATCCAGGTCTGTTAAAAGATGTTTTGAATTTTTTTAACCCATTAATCACCATCATAAAATCTGGTATTAATTATAAAAATTCAGTATTATAAGAAAAAAAAAAATTATTATAGGTTTATAAAAACTTAGTATTAATTATAGATTTCTACCATAATTCAATAATACCTATAGTGGGTTATCAGTTATAGTGAAGTGTATGAGTGTTGAAACAGGATAGTTTGATTTGGCCTTGTTAGTTAGATAGCCCACCATAAGAGGGGTATAAAACAAGAAAATCAAATTATAAAGTGAACAACAAATTTATATACATATAAATCAATTTAGGTCTTTACAAATAAAATTAATGTATTTTGGTTGATACAAGGTTGCCAAAATGTTCATAATAGTCCTTGCAAGAATAAGTTTATGTGAATGTAGACAGAAACATGTGTGGATGTATGTATGTATGTATGTATGTATGAGCATTATCATAGGGTAGGAATGTCTTTGAAGTAATTGCTCAGTCTTAAATGTTCTGTTCATTTATCAAGTATGATGTAATGAATATGCATACACCTGGGTTCCCCCTCCCAGTAATGATTGGCTGGTGTCAGCCATAAATACAGACTGATGTGGAGGTACAGGGTGACACCTATTGCCTACCCCTACGATGAGGACCAGTCCATTATGGTTACCTGCTAGTTTGTCCTACCCGGTTACGGTAGTCAACAACCACTTTGCTACTTTGAACAAATATATCCCTTTCCGAGACATATCAAAGTATAAAAGAAATGAGGGAGAAAGGTAGAGATAATAATAACGATCACTTGACGTTTGTCAAGGGACGTCTTAATACACTCTTCTCCTTTTCTCTGGTGACAAGCGAACTTGCCCGTCTTTTATTTTGTTTGTGGGGCTTGAAAAAGTCATTTAGGAATTCATTCCCGGATATGATTCGGGCCTTTTTATTAGAAGACAAATAAACATTGCGTTGGCTTGTCAAAAATTCTGTAAAAGAATTTGTTTCTGAGAATTGAAGATTATTGGAATTTTGTTTTTAAATGTTTCCTAGTTTTCTATTGGCTGGAAAACATTTTGCATCAAGATGTGAAATTTCACGAGTTTTGTTTTGGATTCACTTTTGCGTGTGTGTTAAGCAAAGTTTGTAAATTCAAGTGTTTTTAATTTCTGACAAAATCAATGAGTCAGTGCTTAGCATTTGAATTTTAAATCTAGATTTTGTTTTGTTCACTGCATACCCACTGCTCCAAATTTAGGATGGGGGATATTAATTACTGAGAAAATAAGAGGATTAAGCAAAGAAAAATCCTTGAACTATCTGCAATCATTTCCATCAAGCATAATGGCAATCCAGTGATAGTACTTAATAATATTAAGTCTAGCGATAATTATTTGCACATAATTATAAGAAATTCTATAAACAGAAATATGACTTGACATCAAGTGAAAGTGGCATGTAGGGATATATAAAATAACAAACACTTAATCTGTATAATATATGCTTATTTATTTATTTATTATGCCTCTTGATTCCTTGGGGAACATAGCGCTGCAACAACACCTCTCCAATGGACATAGTTCCGGGTGATCCTTTTCAGCTTGGCCCATGTCGTGCTGGCTGCCTTCACCTCTTAATCAACCCACTTTTCACTTCTCTTGTGGATTCCAGTCAACGGCCTACTTGGTGACACTAGAAGCAGAATTGCAGAGTGTGTGTCCAATCTATGGAAAATAATGTAAATTCCTAAAAAGTCCAATGTTTTATAAAAATAGATGTTATTCACAATATTTACAGATTTTTTTCTTTCTACTTTCATGTCCCAAACTTTTGTTAAGGCTTGAGTATCTTGATTGAAATATGTATATTTTTTAACTCTTTTTCTATAGAAGTCCTTTCTGTCTAATTCATTCAGAGTTTTAAAAATTATCATTGATGGAGTTGACTTGTTTAATTTTTTCGGGGGTTGACAACAAACTTGTTTAGAAATATCTAAACTGTGAGTTGTATACAGCTTTCTTAGATCAATGCTTAAAATGAAGCTTGTAGATCTTAGGGAGGATTCTTCTTCTTTGAACCTCATGGATTGGCATTACAGAATCACAAAGAACTGTACTAAATAACAGAAACCACATCACTTGAAGACGTTCAAAAGCAGCAATAAATAAAATGGATATCACATGTAATTCAAAGAGAAAATATCGATATAATCAAGATGTTGAAATTCTACATTTGAACAAAAGGAAACACTCATCAATACTGGAAAGAACAATAACTATTAATGGACTTGTGAAACCTATTTTTCTGAAATATCTTTTAATAAAATTTATAAATTTCCATCGAAAATAGCACTGGCTGCTCGGACAAATGAATATTGCATGTTTCCTTATAAGAAAATGTCTAATATTACTATTACCATTAATTGGCTTCATTAAAAAGAAAAAAAAATATAAATGTCACTCAGGGAAAGTAACTCTGTCTTACTTAAATTAACATAGTTATTTCCCTTATTTTTCCCAGCATCAATGTTGTTAAATATAGTAAACTTTAGAAATTCTGGAGTTTAACCCCCCCCAGCCAAAAAAACTTTTTTACATTTCACTAACGTTAAAATAAAGACTACCAAATATGCACTTATTTTCTTCATTGTATTCTATAGGTACCTACACGAAATTTTATATAAAAATATCTGATAGGTACCACCATAGATAAGGACAGTTTTTCTACAAAGAAAGCAAAAAGTCAACACCCTCCTGTTTTAAAATGTTTGCCAAAAATCAAGGATTTATCCTATTTTCTGCACTTATTAATTTATGAATTAATATTTTGTCAAGAAACATTTAATAAAACTAAAATAAAATTTTTTTTTTTGAGAATTGATGTTTGCATAATTTAATAAAACACATTATTTTCTTTGATTTGATAGAAAAAAAATATCTCTAAACTTATTTTAAAAAATTACGTGTAATTTTTCATGGCAATTTTGAAATTAATCTCATTGCTGTTCATTACAGGAATTTATTTTATTAAAGACAATTTGAAGATTTAAAAAATGTAAAGTTTAATGTGTGAACCATTTTATTTTTTTTTCCTTTTTAGCAACTG